TCTTTCTGCTTTCTAGTTAGAACTTCAAACTACATGCTACTGGACTGAATTATAGAGTAATTCCTTGTGGCAGTTGGTCAAATACTGGAAATGACAGCTGCATAACTGTGCCTCACTGAGCACTGAGTTCTGGAGGCTGTGTCAGCAGAGAAATATCCAAGTATTGCCTTGTCCTGAAGACTTACAGCACTTTTGCCTGGCCTCCAGCATTCTGCGGAAGCAAATGCAGGCACTATCTCAGAAGGCATTCTCAGGGTTTGAGGAAAACCTACCACTGAAAGGTATGAAACCTTGATTTAATAAGACTTTGCTTAAGCACCTACAGGACTCATTTTCCTGAATGCCTTTTACAGCTATGTTCTCCACAACATTGCCTAAAGAATGACTCAAATATCCTTGTTAACCCAGTTGTTCTGTTTATAAACATTCACTGCTTAAGTTTTAGTCAGTCTATCCAGAATCCCAAGGAACATGTTTAAAGCATACCTTGAACACTTGAGCTAGGAACACAGTGGGATTCTAATTACCCTGTGCTGCTTGAGTCATGCTGTGCTGCTTGACTGTTTTCACAGAGGAGCTGCTTTCTCAATGCAGATTGTTACACTGATTTTAATTCTTGAGCTACCTGCAGCAAAGGTGCAGACTGTGCTGTAAGAATACCAGAGACCACGATGCTGATGGGGCATTATTCAAACTGAAGAGCTAAGACTGAAGGTACAAAGGGAGCACATCATAACAGAAAAGAAAAAAATGATCAGAAAACACATTTGGAAAAGGCAGTAAGCAGCATTAAACCACCTTAGCTTCATATAATGAGAGGTTTGTGCCTTTTCATTTTTAATATATTTTCTTTCACTCACAAATCTACTTGCCTACTCACTTTTGGCTCTTCAATAATAGTTCTCAAACTATCAGGCAGTAGCTGCATGTTAACTTGTGCCTCCACCTTTCCAGCATCCCATGATGCCTACGAAGTGCTGGGCACAGACAAGTGCCCACTGGCTGTGAAGTGAATGCCAGAGCAGTGTGGAGACTGACTTAAAATCAACAAGCATGTTTTGGATCAGTGGGGGAACAGTAGGCATGGACACAACAATCTGAGAAGGGCTGAGAAGAACACACACACATCACCTTAGTGCTCTCTTCCTTGTATACTCCCCCACAGGGCTCTGATCTGCCCACTGTTAAAAGCAGCCGAGGGAGGGAAACTCGCTAGCTCCGCACACAGTGCTACTGACAAAAATCGGGAAGAGAACAAGGGCTTGTATGTGAAGTCAGGCAACAGGAAGTAGATGAATTTTAGAGTTCCCTTATAGATCTTAGCAGAGTAGCCTAAGAGAAAGTTGCATTTTGCAGAGAAGAAAAGTAAGTAAATTAAAAACTGAACAGGAACTACTTTGTACAAAAGGTTCAGATGAATTCTGACAGTTGTCTTTAGCCTTAATGAAACCATACTGTCATAGGTTCAGAAGCCTTCCCTATCACAGAAGGCTAAATTAATTCCCATCAAGATACTGGGTCTTTAAGCAGGAAATACATTCCAACCACAATTTTCAAACACTTCCCAGCAGCTGTGTGTAAGAAAACAGAATATTACACATTTTGTAAAGAAAACAGCTAAAAGAACTTTGTTCTGTTAACTCACTTAATTGCCAATAAAATTTTAAACTAAATATCCTAATCACCTCCCACTTATCATGTACTGGTTTAGTTCACAGCCAATTTAAAATTTATTCCAAGTACATCCAAATGTGCTCGAACCCCCTAACAGTCCAAAACAGTGACTGGTTCACTAGACTGTCTGGAAACACAAGTTAAATTAGATGTCAGACTATCTTAAGATTGAAGTAGAACAAAGATAGCATGTCAAATACTTCAAGGGTTCTCCGACTCCAAAAATAGGTTTGAAGAATTTTTCTGGGCCAGCATAAGGTGTTCAAAGGTGTTATTCCTGATACTACCCAAATGACAGAAACTGCTTCAAGGACAATTGATGTTTGATGATCCACAAGTGCTCTGACAAAAACGGCCCCAAAGAGACAGTGAAAGCTGGCATTAACAGGTCCTTTAGCAGTCTCCTCTTTAACTTTATGCTCAGACTTTTCTTCTTCTTCAAGGCTTTTAGCTTTGGAGCTTTACTAATGAGTGGGGCTCTGCCTTCATGTGTTTTGGTGCAGTTAAACAAACTACTTAATCTTGATTAAAAAAGTAATCCTGAAGACACTACTGTGTCACTCTCTGTACATGTTCTCAAAATTACACAACACAAGACTTAGATACATGTTTATCAGAAAACAGCCACTATACCTATCACAGAGAAAATGGAGAGAAAAAATAACGTCCTCAGAATTTACAGATAAAAACATTCAAAAGAGAACAAGTAAATCTGAGTCTTTCTTAAAGCCAGCCATTAAAATTACCTAAAAGCACAGAAAAATACTAAAATAATTATGCATAAACATTTCCTCTGACATAACATAAACCTGCATGGAAAATACACCCTACCTGAGAAAGGCACATCTCTCAGAACAGTGGAACTCCAGCCCCTCCACAGGGAAAGCCATCCATCTGCAGCCACTTTGGTGCTGACACACAGGTACAGCTGCTTGTAGGACAACTTGCGATACTGCATCCTAGTTCTGATCAGCTCCAGGGGACTCACCATGGTAACAGAACCGACTGCACAGGAGGGAAATGGGCCTTTTGGTGAATCAGCATTCCAAAGGAGTATTTCCAGAACATTAAAGTCACATCTCACCTACATTCGGTTCTTTCCAGCTCTCCCATTTTCCTTAACTAATTCCCCAAATAAGTTTCCTTTCCAGATAAGAATACCACACCTATTCAAAGTGCCTACACTTTTGGTTAAGGGATTTTTTTTTCAATACTGGCACATTGCAATTGATGCAACATGTTAAGAATCCTCATTTTCAGATTTAATACACAAATGGGCTGAACATTTCAAGTACTTATATACAGTAATTTTCAGTAATTGCCATTTTAAAGTGTAACTTGAAGAAAGTGAGCTTGAGGTTTAAGGCTTTTTTGTTTAAGGACAAAAACTGTGGTTGAAGATTAAGCTTTTACTGATTTCAAAGCATCTTCCTCCTGAAAGGAGGTTGTAGTCAGGTGGGGGTTGGTCTCTTCTCCCAGGCAACCAGCAGTAGGACAAGAGGGCACAGACTCAAGCTCTGCCAGGGGAGGATTAGGTTGGATATTAGGAAGAGATTTTTTACGGAGAGAGTGCTCAGGCATTGGAATGTGTTGCCCAGGGAGGTGGTGGATTCACCATCCCTGGAGGTTTTCAAGCTGAGACTGGATGTGGCACTTAGTGCCATGGTCTAGTAACGATGGTAGGGTTGGACTCGATGATCTTTGATGTCTCTTCCAACCTGGTTGGTTCTATGATTCTATGATCTTTGCCATTCTTACTTTGAACTATCAAGAATAATTAGATAGCAATCTATATCTGATAAAGTAACTCTCTTGCATTTTGCAAAATGATCAGTAAGGCACCAGTTACTAACAAGCTCCCATCACATGTGTAACAGACATTAACAATTTTACTAGAACTTTTCTTCTGTGGCTGAGATAAGGTTTAACATGTGAATTTAAAAACTGGAGCAACCTAATAAGAATAATTCACCACAGCACCACAGAGTAACAATTCTTTTTCCACTAGTGCCCCCATGGTTGTCACAAGTAGAATATGGAACTACATTCTCAGACTCTAGGAAAGCCCAAAAATATAAAACCTGAGTTACTTCTACAGAAATAGGTGAGGAAAAGGATAAACAAAAGTAAAAAAATACAAAAACAAATTCAGTCCACATCATACAGTAGTAAAACCAGCACAAGTCCAATTTTTGTTTGCCTTATAATTACCTGTGTAGCTTCCATTATAGAAAATAATGATGTTTATTATTAGAGTCACAATAGAACAGACTTAAATTAAACTGTCCTTGGTAGAAGTCTAGAAACATAAAATTGTGAACAAATTGCAAACATAGTGAAAGTTTAACAGCAAAAACAAATCACATTTTTCCATTATTACAGAGGGTTTTGTTGCCCAAGAATTACTGGGTAATTACAGTATTCCTTCCTGTGCCCAGCTCCACATAAGATTATCCCTCACTTAAAGCCACAGCAAATTTACTTTAAATAAAAACCACAAAACAAACCTAAGAAAACAGCATACAGGTATTTTATTTCAGTTTTCTCTCTAAACAGATGAGAACTTACATCTGCTTAAGGAACCTGCAAGAACTGGAATGCGTTCATCATCCTTTCCCAGTCTGTCTTTCAAAGCTTCACACAGTTGGTCATAGCAGGTAAAATAGATTACTGTAGTAGGAAGTGCCATTATTCTAAAATATAAGAGAGGGAATCTAAATTAATACAAGAAAAGCAGAAGAATAAAGTATTGTATGGATGTTTTGCTTAAATAAAGACACAAATCTCCAGCATTAATCCCATGGTTTTGATTCACTGCCTCTAGTTCAGAGTTTCAAATCCACAGACTTCCCAGATTTTTATTTCATTAGGAAAAACTGTAAGTAAAATAATGGTTATTATCTCAGTCAAAATTCATTTCACACCAGCTTCAGAACTATTTAGATAAAGGAATGGAAGTGAAAGATCTGAATACGAAGAAACCAAACGAAACATTACAGAAGCAGCTACTAACCTTAAACTTTTATTCATTTAACAGCTGGAGAGTATTTTCACCATCTTACTCAACAGTTATGATTCCACTTGTGAAGCAATGTGGTATGTGTAAATATAAGCTTTTTCCATTCCAGATCTCTTAGTTCAGTCAGATCCTAAAGGTTTATATTTTGAAATTGCCACATACTGCAAGATAAATAAGGCTGAGCTCCCCCATGCTTTGCTTTCTTGTGCCTATACACAGAGCACTGTCTACAAATCAAAACTGTACCAGTGCTTTCATACTGGGCAAGACTTTGTGTCTTAGAAGATACAATTTTAATATACATAATGACCACTTCTTTGGACTGTTTATGGAGGAGGATATAATTAATACATTATAATTAATTATATAACTTTAATATACATAATGACCACAATACAGCTTTAATATACATAATGACCACTTTTTTGGACTGTTTATGGAGGAGGACATAATTATAGAGGCCTTAATTTCTAACTGTACCAGGTTAATATGAACAAGAAGATAAAACTTTGGTGATGTTTAGGCTGAAGAGGTTTTCTCTTGTGTGGAGGAGTGAGGGTAATGAGATGCAACACCAGAGTGTCTGGAAACAACTCTGCTGCTGATAGCAAGTCATTAGTAACAAGATAGGACAGCAAGTCTCTGTCAAAGACTGGCATTCTCTAGCAATCACATTTGATCCTGTGATGTGATAATGCTATCAAAGGAACAGTTATAGTAAAGATACCATCTCTAAAAGCCAGAATGTTAAGTCTAATGTTCGTGCCTAACTGATGGTAATATATCAGAGAAATCTCAAAATCTGGCAAAAATTATACTCTCTCTAGACATTTCTGAATCGAACTGATTATATCATTATCTGTAACTTCAGAATTTACCAAATTTACAAAATAACTTAGAAATAAACATAATAGTTTGTCTAAATAACTAAATAAATTTTTAACAATAGCTCATAACATGCTACCAAAAGAGAACATTCAACTTACAGTGTTGGGGGAAGTCCACTCCACAGTGACTTCATTCCCTCTATTTGAGTAATTTTCACAAATGCATCCTACAAATACAACCAGGCAAAGAGCAATAATTAGCTACGAAATTTTGTACTCAATATATTTTAGCTGGCAGAACACAACATTAATGTCTTTAAAAGGATGTTTCTAAAATGGTTTATCATTATGAGACCCCAATTTTGTAACTGCCTACACTAGCTATCATATTTAATCAAATAGCTCCACTGAGCTGAATGGAGTAATTTGTGTGACTGAAATGAAGAATTTCCTTCCATCTTTAAAAGCCCGAGTAGTAAGTGTTTATCAGTGAGTGACAGCTCTGTGAATAAAGTCATTTTCACAACTAATATGGCACAGCAGCAACTTGTGGGAACTTCCCCAAAATAATCCATTAAAAGATTTGTTTTAATACATCACATAAGTTCAAGGCATGAAATAACAATTATTTCCTGATGATTCTTCAGTACTTTCTTCCTCTGACAACAATGCGACAACATATGTGCAACGTATATACACTCTACTATATACCTGGAAGGTTGCAATTACTGTCACAGCTGTCTCATATGCTCCCAGATGACTGACAGCAGAGGAACACCAAACCTTGAAGATCATTCAGCTAAAATCACCAACAAAAACACAAGCTCCCTAATATTAGGATACCTAGTTTTCTTAAACATCTGGGGCAAGAAGTTGACATTTGATGGATTAGAATATGTTTAAGACCAGACATTATCCCAGAGTCTCAAAAGATACAGTCTGACAGACCACAAAAAAGATTTACAGGAAGAAAAAGGTGATCAGCTTTAGAGGAGGCAGCCTTGGTGGACTAGTCCACTGAGGTAAAGAGTTGAATGGAGAAAACAAAGATTTATTAAAACAAATTTAACTAGTAAAAATGGACCTTTGAGAGAGAGTCAAGAATCCCTAGAAGGTCCTAACATGGTTTGACAACAAAGACACTTCTATACTACTTAGTTTATATGTTTATAATCAGCTTCGACAGACTGACAAAACAGGAAGGTATAGATTGGACTCATGTTTTACAAAAATGAAAGAAATCCAATTATATGACAGTCACCCTCCTTTATGAACCACCTTGTGAAAGCAAAAATGGGCATAAATTCATATCAATTAAAAAACTTTCTAAAATTGTAAAGTTAATTAAAAAATTCAAACTTGGAAAGTTTGAACATCTCATTCTCAGAAACTTAATTCTGAAAAATCCTTGACCACGTGTAATTTAAAAGCAAAATCACAGAAAATCTTGATTGATGAAGCAGCAAAACAGTGTGTGACAGCAATTCTGTTTCAAGAGTCTGGGAAAATGCTAGTTCTGTAAGTTTCAATGGATAGAGGACTTGACACATGAACTTTAAAACACTATCTGCACTGTTAGTTCAGCTCAGGAGCACACTGGGAGATCTGTGGGCAGAATAGCTGTAAGCAGGTAACAGAAAATTGGTCCCTGCAATGAGCAACTATTGGCAATATAGCTCAAGTGGGGAAAAAAAAATAACAGAGCCAGTAATCTGTGAGTAGTGTGTAGCTGCCTCCTTATGCATCTTAAGGAAGGAGCATGTATTTTATTGTAGAAAGTGGAAGGCATCATTAATCACCATCAAAATTACACTGTGTAACCACATAAAGACTCGCTCAAATGATAACAGACTCTAGTAGAACCCCCAAAACCCAATAACTTTACAGTAAGCTACTTAAAAATGTACAGTTTTATATATATGTAAAATGTCCTTACCAAGGTCCCTTTGAAATGCCCAGGTTTTTTATACCAGGCTTTGCTGTCCCCATTTTCACAAACACATATATGATCCATAAGGCCATTGGAGTACACAAAACACTTTCCTAATAAAATGGTGTATAAGAATAGAGTTAATGTTTGTAAGACTGTTCCTATGCAGCAGCAATTTCAAACTGGATATCGTGGCAACACACATTTATCTCTGGTTAGACACAGAGGGGCAAAATAATCTCAGTAAGCCACTAACCACAAATTAGGTAAAAGAAGGAACAAATGTACCACTCAAAGTGCCAGACGAATGAAACTGTGCTCACAAAGCTCCAGGAGACATGTTCATGTTATGCTACCTGCTGAAGGCCAAAACCAACAAAAGGCCTGAATGTAACTATTGTATGCAACTGTGAACATCTTTCAGACTTTTAAATCTTTTAATAAGTAGCCTCAGCATTCCACATTACAAGTGGAGGTTATTGTATCTTAGATTGGACTGTTTATACTCTCTATTTGTTTTTTATTTCTTCTACATCATGTACTTCAAACCTGCTTGATAAAGTATTATTGCCATTACAAAAACATACTTGGAGCTCCACGTTTGAAATTTCTGAAGGCTTTAAAATTTACTAAAAATCAAGACAGAAGGCACAAGCATTTTTCCTGATTTACAGCAAGTGTGACTACAAATATTCACCCCTCCACATTCAGTATGCAAGACCAGTCATCTCTTTTCCTTTTAAATCTGATTCATTAAGTACAAGTAAATAGTATGAACTATTAGCATATCTTTGAGTGTGCAATGTCTTCATCTATTTAGAAGCCAACTGGCAAGTGACTCAGGTAAGACTTACTTCCCCATTTCAAAGATCTCTAGATTCTGGAGTAGATGAACTTTGATCGAGTATTCTGACCACATATGCCCTCTGAGGAAATATTTATTAATTAATCCCCCTTTTTAAAAAAATCTCAAATCAGTAACAGTTTTACCTTCTGCCACAAGGAAGATACTAAGAAAGACAGAAAAAAACCCCTATTTAAAGTGGTATGTACTTATGGCATTTTTTTTCCACTGTGTCTATTCACTGGCACATTCTTTAGCAATTTCAGTAGATATTGCTGCATTGCTTTATCTCGCCCCCACTCATGCTGAAGAAACAAACATAGCAATAGTGAAACAAATACAAACATTCTGCAACTCAGCACAGCATTACTAGCTTACCTTTAGGGAATGGGTTGCTTTGGGCTTGCAGTCGAGTTTTGATAACATCAAGAGGAGTTACTAAAATGAAACAGAAGTAATTTAGAAAATCCCTGCATGCCCTGAAAATGTAAAAGCATACAGATGTCTGAACAGAGGGAAAAAAAGTAAGAGACCAGTCTTACAGTGTTATCAGACAGAGAAAAAGATGTTACCATGGTTTGCAAGTGACCATATGCATCTTTTCTGATTTACTAATAGTACAGGCATCAGCTATTAGAGATACACAAAGCTCATCCAAATAACATTGTTTCACCTCACCTGAAATTGCTAACACTTGTGGTATTATGCTCTGCTACTAAGCTTTTATAAGTAGCATACCACAAGGAGTAAGAGATCAGATTTTGGCATCCAGCATGTAAAGTAGCACAGCATTCTTCATGTGTTTATCCTGTTTCAGTAAACTGACCATAATAGCAACATTCAAAAGATACATGTTAAACTCATGATGTACTTTTCTTCTTTGCTGCATGTAGACAATACTTAAAACTTCGGGGTTGTTGAAAAGTAAATGAAGGTTTAGTGAACATTTAATTGGTTCCACTACAGCCCTTACAATTTTAACAGGCCTAGACCTGCTGAATGCTACAGTGGCTGGGCAACTGGATCATCCTCTACTGACTATATTGACTTGAGGGCTCAATTCAGGTGCCTGCATATAAGCAGCTAGTGCCATCTGACTCTCTAAGGTATCTGAAATAATTACACAGTTAACAGAAACTACACAGGACACACAAAGTGGCAGCTAGAGGCAAAGTCAAACACACTAGCACGTGTCTTGCTGAAAACATTCCTATGCACTCGCAATGGAGTCACACCTTACCTCTCTCTTGATGCCTCTCAGTTAACTAACAAGTGGTGAATACTTGGATCACATTTCACTATCTAAATGTGGGGAAATAATGTTACTCCTGCAGCTCAATTTAAGTTGCTTAAAATTTGTCATCCAGTAGCATCTTAGCTGGTCACATATATTCTAGCTCATGTCCAGGCTGCCACTTGAGAAAGAAGCTGGTCTTCTACACCTCTCCTGCATCTCTCACACACCAACACCTGATGCTGTACTACAATTGTGTGTATGTACAGACAATTGAATTCCATAGGTCTGATGTAACTTTGCTTGCTACTTTACCTAACACCACAGGACCCATGATATATAAAGACAGAACAGAAAGACTAGGAATTTGACAGGTTCCTGTTAAGATCCTATTTTGTAAACACTTGGAAATTTTGTGGGGGATAAACTGTGCTTAGAGAAAATTGCACATTTCCCTGCAGTTTAATCCACATTAGAAGTCAGAACCAAAGGCTACCTTAAGGCAAAAAGTAACAGAAATACAAAGTATTAGCTAATGAGCTTGAAGAATTCTAAGGCACGTGAAGTGCTGAAACAAACCAACCAATGCCTGCTTAGGTACACATGGGGAAGGAGATCCTGAGTGAGATAACTGACTATGAAGCAGAAGATGAATTCCACAGATTATACAGAAGTTTAAAAAAGTAACAAAAATCTATCCTTAAAAGCAACAGTTAGGAGAAAAAAACCAACATAAAACCAAACATAAAAGGCTTTGACAGTGTAAGGCATCACAAGAGAATAAATTGTTACTACTAAAGTGGTACGATGAAGGGGACACCTCACAGTAGACAGCCCTGCAGGATCTCTGTCTACTTTACTATACAGTTTTTTATTTAAAATCTATTTTTAAGCAGCAGGAAGTATGGAAATTAAGGTTTATTATTAATTTTGTTTTTTCTAGAGAAAAAGCAATAACTACAATGAAAGGAAAAAAGAAACAGAAATTTAAAGTTAATAAATATTATTCTTATTTTCAGAAATGGTTACAGTTTTTCAGGGACAGAAGAGATTTCAATTAACCACATTTTTAAAATACAAAAAAAAAGGAAAACTATCTAAACCCATCACTGTGGAACATATTAGTCGAAATATATATATGCAGACATCATGCTGAGTCAAACTGAAGAGTAATCCCTTTCTAAAGATTCTCTCTGTGGCAAGCTTGACAGTTTGCCTTACCAAATAATGATGTTATTAAAGCTCCACAACAAGAGGCTACTGCTTGCTGCATAATGGTCAGTTTTCCTAAGTTGCTATCACTCACTTCAGCCATGGCTTTAACCCTGGAGAAGAAAAACCTGTTAAGGAACAGAAAAACATATTGCAAGACTATGTTCAAAACTTGCAAAAAGAAAATCAAGGGGGAAAATACTTTAAATTTTAATTAATACATTATGCATAAGTAGCAAGATCTATACAAGCACCTCTGTAAATTTTTGAGATTAGAGTGTTTGCACCATGTTTTGTAAGTAAGTAGGAAGACAGCAAGTCTTGGAAATCATTCTTACACAAACTACAATCTTTATATGCTTTTGTAAACCACATTAAATATTTAATATGTTTTACCTTTTGCTGAAACAAAGTGTTTAGGCACACATAAATAATTCGTAGAAAGGTAAATTTCCAGCCTGTGGCACATAAGCTGTAGCACTGCAGAATAATCCATCCAGCTCTCCCCTTGCTCTGTCACTCCTATGAGAAAACCCAGAAAGATCTCCTGGTTGATCCGACAGTCACAGCCTGACAGTGATGACTATATACCTTGTGAGCTCCTCGTGTAATAAACAGTGACTAATTAGTATTAATGCTATTATTAAATATGAATTCCTTGAGCAAATCCTGCTGTATGGCAGCATAGGCATGGTCACAATAATTTAGGAAGGCATTCACAGTATCTACAACTAGCTAGGCCAGGAAAAAATAATAATAAAAATATTTCAGCAAACAAAATCCTCAACGAAAGGCGTATCTTTCAAAATGCACATTGTGCATAAACAGAGCCTGAACTTGATCTACACTTTTTATTTGCTCTAGAGGCACATTATGTTATTGTCACTAAGTTTTAAATGAAAGATCACAGAATACACAGAGTTAGAAGGGACCTGTGAGGATCATCGAGTCCAACTCTTGGCCCTGCACAGGACATCTCTGATAATCACACGAGGGCACTAACAAACACTTCAGGCTTGGGGCTGTGACAACTTCCCGCGGGAGCTGTTCCAGTGCCCAACCAGCCTCTGCGTGATGAACTTTTACCAAGATCTAACCTCAACCTCCTATGACACAACTTCAGGCTATTCTCTCAGGTCCTATCACCAGAGAGAAGAGGTCGTTGTTCGCCCCTCCACTGCCCCTTGCGTGGAAGTTGTACACAGCGACATATAGATAGATAGATAGAGTGAGAGACACAGAGAAGATTTTTGAGAGAGAGAGAGGGAGAAAGAGAGAGAGAGAGAGAGAGAGAAAGAAAAGATTTTTTTTTTTTACAGAGAGAGTGCTCAGGCATTGGAATGTGCTGCCCGGGGAGGTGGTGGATTCACCATCCCTGAGACGTGATGTGGCACTTAGTGCCAGGGTCTAGTAACGACAGTAGGGTTGGACTCGATGATCCTTGAAGGTCTTTTCCAACCCTTATAGATTCTACGATTCTATAAGAAAGATTAAGCTACATAAAACAAGCTTCACCTCTCAGGTACTCCCAACAACTAACGGCGCGGGGAGAACTGCCTCTTTTAACGCCTTTTCAAAGCAGAGCCACAA